ACACTTAGTGGACCACATACGTCTGTATGGATCAAATCCAAAAGACCCTCGGCTCGTTCCATTTTCCCTTTGTAAGGTGACTTGGTCATTTTCCCTTTAAGGCAAGATTCACAAGTTTGTAGTGATTTCACGTCCTCCAAAGAGAACAATCCTTCTCTAACAAAATCGTTCATCCTTCTTAAAGAGACATGACCTAATCTAGCGTGCCAAAGTTGTGCGGGGTTTTGATCTATCTCCTTACGTTTTGCTGATATAACATTAATAGGTATTTCATTTGGATTTAGTTCATACAAGTTGTTTAATAGTCGTCCTTTGCAAATCAAATTCTCATTCTTTTGTATGATGCAAATCGAATTTCCAAAAACAAAAGTAAAACCTTCAATATCTAATACAGGAATAGAAATAAGGTTTCTAATGAGGGACGGAACAAATAAACAATCGTTCAAAACAATAGGAAAACTAGAATCCAAAACATTTAAGTAAATCGTGCCAATGGCTTCAGCAGCAACTCTTGCTCCATTCCCCATCCTTAGGAAGGTCTTACCCGCTCTAAGCTTTCGACTTCTTGTCATTAGCTGCAAATCATTGCACAAATGTGAGCCACAGCCCGTATCCAATACCCAAGAAGAACAGTTGACAGATAAATTTACGTCAATAAAATACGTACCCTTTACAGAACTTTTCTGCTTTAGGTAAGCCTTGCAGTTGCGGCGATAATGTCCTTTCTTTCCACAGTGATGGCAAGCATCATCAACTTGCTTGCTAACCTTTGTCTTGGGGCCCCCACTACCTTCACCCACTTCGAACTTGCTGTTTGGGAAGGGAACTCTTTCCTTTCTCTTCTTTTGGGACGAACTCTTCTTTCCAGAAGTAGCAGCAATGAGAACAGACTTCTCTTTCTTAATGGTGGACTCGAAACTGACCAACATGTTCATTAACTCATCCAAGGGAGGATCTAGTTTGTTCATGTTGAAGTTCACTATGAACGATTCATAGGAACTAGGAAGAGACAACAGGATCAAATCCAACGAGAGCTCGGCCGGGAGGGTGACATCGAGATTCACTAGCTTTTCAAGGAGAGTGATCATTTTGAGACAGTGCTCGTGGACCAAAGTCTCTTCGCGCAGTCTCGCCTTGATCAACTCCTTTGTAGCAGCGTACCTCAATGCCCTAATATTCTCACTATACATGCTATCGAGATGAGCCTTTATATCGAAAGCATGCTTGTGAGACTTATATTTCCTCGCAAGCGCGGGCTCCATGGCGGCTATCATATAGCACCTAGCATGTGTGTCATCTTTCTTCCATGCTTCATAAGTTTCCTTTTCAGCATCAGCCGCTGTGGCAGGTATAGTGGCGGGAAGTCTCTCGTTCAAAACAGAGAGACGCCCTTCAACGGTTAGCACAAGCTTAAGACTACGCAACCAATCTAGGTAATTAGGGCCATTGAGTTTATTGTCGAGGATTGACATTATGGGATTCTTAGACATGATTATCTGAGAGGTATAGAGAAGAGGATTATTAGAGATTCGCGTTAAATGATTGTTACAATTAAATGTTTGGTCTTATGTTATTTAACTGTTCTCCCACTAATTTTATCGAATTCCACTTCCCTCTAGTAGGCAAACGAGAAAACTGATTTTTCTTAATGGGCTTTAGGTCCAATAGACAAATATAACCCGTAGTTAATCTAGCCCGATTATATTTGCCCAAAGGTAGATCACAATCAATCATATCCACAATATGACCCTAAATTAATTTTCCTCACACTTGATAATGACCTAAGTTAATCTCGCGAATATCAAAATCGTCGTGTGTCAAGTCTAACCTACCAATCAAAGATGCTCATAGAACTTGATTATGCCAAACTAATGCAGTCCCTAGTTAATCTAGCCGACCACATTAATCCAATATAACCCTTTTCTATGGCTACCTTCATCGCTATGTCAATTGAATTACAGCTTAATCCACCATAGCACTCCCCGCTAACACGGCTTACTGCACTACAGTGAAGGGCTACACATAATCCAACCGTTGTCAGAAGGAAAGAAATAACTCAACAGATTGGGTATTTCTTTATAGCGTGAAATGATTCTTAATAAGATTAAGAATGAGGGATTTTTATTAAACGTTTTATCTCATCAGAAGGTTCGGATTGGTCTATGTGATTCCTACATCTATGTTCTCTAAAGGTATAGGAAACGCATATTGTCCTAAGAGGAACATACGACCTAACTACATAATTAATTACATTAATTAATTATCGGGTTATTTAAAATAATTATAGAACCTCAACTAGCATAAATCATTCAAATCATGTTGAGGTACTACTAATTAAGTTGAATTATAATCAATATTATATATGTGTTCTATTAATTGAAATTAATTTAACAATTTAAATTAATTAATTAATCTAACACCTATTTACTAAAATAGATGATTGTTGACTCGATTATCTAATTGGGATTAATTGAAAATAATTTTCCAAAAATTAAAATCAATTTGTTTTAAGTTTAATTTTAGAAATCTGAAATATTTTTTTTTATTTTTTTTATTTTCAGCGAACTGGTTCGGTCGACCGGTCTGACCGAAACGGTCCGGTTCTGCCCGGTCCAGTTGACCCAAATCAGTGGGCCGGGTCAGTCGGACCGAGAACCGGTATGACCGACCCGAATCCACGTGGATTCGGTCAATTGGATCGCACACAACAATCGAACCGGCCGGTTCGACCGGTTCGATCCGAACAAATTAAAAAATGACGTTTTAAAAATAATTTCAGATCCGATTTTCTAATTTTAAACAATTTTAAAGCTGGAAAAATTCTAAACCATATTTCAAAAATATTTTAAACTTACAAAAACTCCCAATTACATAATACAACAATCCCTACTTTAATAAATCGAACATGCATAAAATCATAGCATATTAAAACGAACGCAATTAATTGCGCAACGAGCTCTGATACCACTGTTGGGTAACGGGCACGTGTACGCAGCGGAAAACAAAAATTTTATGCGATTTAAACAATTTAAAACACATAAACACATGCCCGATAATTGAAATCAATTAATTGCGTACCTTTGCGCTTCCAGCGAAACTAAAAACAACATACATGCTTAATTATTTAACCGAATTGAAATTAATTAGCATGCTCGTGTTTAAATCAAATAACATGCTCATAACATATAAATCAATTTCATGTATCCACATAAAATCATACAAGAACGAACATACATATTTAATTTAAACATAATCGAATTCATCAATAATTGATTCGAAAGGTTTACCTCTTGAAGCGTGAGGTAGGAGCGCTAAGCAAGACGAGATTGCTACAGAAACCAATCCGTACAATCCGGGGCAGCAGCGGTGGAGCGGCAGCAGCGGCGTGACGTCCACAGCGGCGCGTGTAACTCACGCGCGGTCTTCGGGCGGCGCGTGGGGATCCGTGCGGCTTCGGCTCGTGCGCTGCTCCTCGATTCTTCGATCTTCGATCTTCCTCCTCTCAGATTTCACCTCGTACACTTCGATCCACTAAACACGTGGCAGTTCTTTCGGAGTGGCGAGCTGCTCAAACAATGGGATAATACGGTTTTGGTTTTTATACCAAAATCAGCCCAAGCTCAAACGGTGGGCGACTTCCGCCCCATAGCCTGTTGCAATGTTATTTACAAGGTAATTGCAAAGGTTATTACGAAACGCCTTGAGAAGGTTCTGCCTTCCATCATAGATAGAGCCCAATCGGCTTTTGTGAGTGGTCGTTCTATCACGGACAACATTCATATGGTCGAACAACTTATGAGGGGATACGAACGCAAACGTATCTCGCCCCATTGTTTACTCAAGATGGATTTACGGAAGGCCTACGACTCCGTAAATTGGGATTTCTTACGGTCTATGTTGTTGGGACTTGGGTTCCCGGACATGGTGATTCAGTGGATTATGGAGTGTGTGACATCGGCTTCCTATACGGTGTCAGTTAATGGAGTGACAAGGGGGTTCTTTCCGGGGATGAGAGGACTACGACAAGGGGATCCATTATCGCATTATCTCTTTGTTATTTGCATGGAGTACCTTTCGCGACTGCTGTATGTGAGATCGATGGAGCAAGAGCTCAATTTCCACCCGATGTGCCACTTACATAAGTGACGCACCTCATCTTTGCCGATGATTTGATGCTTTTCTCGAGAGGCGACGTTGCCTCTGTTCGTACGCTTGCCACGACGGTGCTTGAGTTTGGGCGAGCATCGGGGCTTTATGTGAATAACTTGAAATCCAATTTATTCCTTGATGGAGTTCATGTGGCCGACCGGACGACGATTGAGGAGGAATTCCGCTTTGCCACCGGAACCTTCCCCTTTCGCTATTTGGGTATTCCTCTCGCTGCGTCCAAACTTCGTGTGCTTGATTACCAACCCCTATTGGATAAAATTGAGCATGCCATTGGAGTGTGGACGGGTCATACGCTATCGTACGCCGGCCGTTTGGAGATCTTGAAGGCGGTTGTTCAAGGTACGTGTTGCTATTGGCTCTCGATTTTTTCGATCCCGATTACGGTCATTGTTTATATTGAAGATATGTGCCGTGCTTTCTTATGGGGTACATGTGCACCGAAAGTCGGTTGGGCGTCTATGTGCAAGCCGAAGGACGATGGTGGGCTGGGCTTTCGCTGTTTGCGGACATGGAACCGGAGTTTGCTTGTGAATGACCTTTGGGACATCCATTTGAAGAAGGACTCCCTATGGATTCAATGGGTCAATGAATTCTACCTCAAAGGCACGACCATTTGGGAATGGCAACCGTCGGCGACTTCCTCCCCATATTTTAAAAATCTTTGTGGGATCCGGGATGAAGTCGTGGGCAAGGCGGGGTCCATTCCGTTGCTCCTAGCTCGATTGGAGACGTGCTCGAGCATGGGGAAACTTACGGTGGGACGGATTTACGACTGGATTAGGGCCCCAACCGGGGGCCTGCCATGGGGCTGACATCTTTGGGCTCATTCCATGACGCCTAAGCACTCGTTTGTTCTTTGGATGGCAGCCCCCGATCGGTTGCAAACCATGGAGCACTTATCTTATCGGAACATTGTGAAGACTTGTGTGATGTGCGGTGCGGTGAACGAGGACCGAGAGCATTTGTTTTTTCGGTGCAGCCTGTCGCACGAAGTATGGGATCGTATTCGAGTCCGGTTGGGGATTTCGCAAAGGCCGACTACTATACGGGCTGCTCTCAAGTGGCTCACCAAGGATGTTAAAGGTAAATCATACCGAAGCAAGACGAGGAGATGTGCTTTGGCAAGCGTTGTTTACCATATATGGGAGGCTCGGAACAAATGGAGATTCGGCAAGACGGAGACGACGACTACCGCCCTTGTCCGGAAGATTCAGACTCACGTTTATTCAGCTATGTTCATGCAGCACCCGGAGCTCACTACCAGCAATGGGGGCCGTTTTATCGTCGGCCAAGTTGATGCTCACTAGGGAGGGGGGCTTAGCCCCAATCGATGACTATGTTTTTCACGTTTTTTATGTTTTTCAATAGTTAGTTTACTTTCTATTGTTTCCTCAATTCCCTCGGGTATGCCCGTTGTAATTGTCTACGACTTTTTTTTTATTTATATTATTTACATCTTCGATAAAAAAAAATATTATACTTGTGCTCTGACTACTCGTTACTTGAAATTTGAAATTTTTGCACATAAAAATATCTAATAACTATCAATTCATTTATTTACTGACAAATAAATTAAATGCCATTCTTTTTACATATTACTCTTTTAACTTATTTGAGCATGTTGTATACAAAATTCAGTTATGCAAGTCTTAAACATAAACAAACTCACAAGTTACTCATATGTTATTTATCGTTATTTATGACGAGTATTTTTCGAGACGTAAATCATTTTCGGTAAATGTCCACCAATTAAATGATGTGTTAGCCCTCAATTCGTCCGGCCTTTTGATGGCTTAGCTCATTTAGAATCTCACACTAGATTCTCAGATGGATAATACATAATTAAATGTGTACATTAATTATCTATGACCTAAGAGGCTATACATTTATCTGATAACTTGAAGTAGTTTAATTTGATCAGTGATGAAATAATTATGTCACTTTGAATAAGTGTTGCACAAACAAAATGTATTAGCATAATAAATTAAAACAATTACTATTAACGCTGTTCTTGTTTAATGTAATCAAGATAGTTTATTTAATTAAATATTGTGGTACAGTACAATATTTATTCCCAATGTTTGTCTAACTAAGTTGATATATTTTATAAGAGCTACAGTTGACAAATTAATATCAATAATTAATGTTGAATCTATATGGGGTTAATAAAATAATTATTAATGTTACAATTTGCATACATAATTCATTATATTTGAATATTCCAAATTATATAATACATGCAGCTTCCGCCTGCATGTGATTCTTCTGTAACTAAATCTTTATATATATATATATATATATATATATATATATATATATATATATATATATATATATATATATATATATACATTACTCTTTTTCAACGCAATACCCAACATGAAGGGGGAATTAATTAGATGCTATACTTGGTCGATTATATCGGTGTTTGTTAACCGTAAATGGGGTTAAATATCTATCCACTAAACACATATACGTACAGGGGCGTACCCATGTATATGCTTGGGTCGCCCGTTCGCCAAGAATTTTGTTTTTTAACAATTTGTTTATATGTTATTTATGTAATACTTAATACACTTTTGCCTCCCAAATTTTTAATTTTTTACACTTTAGTCCATAAAAAAAAAATCTTCTCTTAAATCACTCGATATTTCAGCCTCAAAGAAAAATCCCCTAAGTCCGCCTCTGCATACGTACATATGAATGTGTGTGATTATGTAAAGAATTACGGTTTACAGAGACTTGATGTAAATAACCAGATGTAACATCTAATTTTCCAGCACAATGAGAGCGCGCGCACACAATTGATCCACAAAGTAGATGGTCTATGAATTAATGAACAAACCACAAATCTAAGTTAAATCAAACAAGAACATTTAAACATCAACAATAAAAGAAACAAAGCTTAAAAAAATTAATTGAAAAAAAAAACAATAACTAAGGAAAAGTAATTAGGACAATAGTCCCATGCACAACAAAATAATTCCAGACACCAATCCCAACCCTACACTCATCTCTCCGGATCCATTCCCGGGATTATTGGTTGCCGGATCGTTCGTAGATGGGGCTTTGGCAGCCGTGACGTTGGTGGAGGGATTGCTCGTGGACGTGGACGGCGGTTTTGCGGCGGCACCACCACCGCCACCACCACTCGGAGGTGGAGAAGGCGCCGGAGCTTTCGATTTGGATTGTTGAGGAAAGAATTCAATAGGCAGAAGCACCTTATCGACCTGGTAAACCGCGAGCGGTGGGTCTTTCCTCAATGCATTGTAGATCGGCACCTCGACCACTCCGGTGGATACGTTGACCTGATTCCCCTGACCGGTGAAGTTGAGCCCGAACACTTGGTTGTCCTGCCCGCTGGCCTGTGTCCTGACCGGATTGCTGACCGTCAACAGACTTTCAAGAGAGTAGTACTTTGGGCAAATGTGGTAAAGCACGAGCTGGACTTGCTGCTGGTTTGTGAGTTTGTTAAGGGAGCCAGGTGGCAGGTTGTTGAAGGCGTTGTCGGTTGGGGCGAACACCGTCATGCCGTCTTGTGAATTGTTGACCTGGTTGTTGATTTGGTTGGCTGCCTGAGTTTCGTTTAGGAGGCGGATGAAGGTGGTGTATTGGCTGGCCTTTTCGAGGATTGCGGTGATGTTGATCGGGCCGGAGGCGGTGGGTGGCGGTGCCGACTGGGCGTGGGTTGTGGGGAGGGGGAAGAGTGAGAGAAGAAGTGTAGTGAGAGAGAGGAGGATTAGTGCACGTGCCATTTTTGGTGGTGGTACGGACTAGTGAGTGAGTGTGAGATGAATAGAAGGTGTAGGGTTTAATGGGGTTATATATAAGATGAGGAAGAGGTTGACTTTCTTGGAATGAGCTGGCGCACGAATCGAATCATGGTATAAATCAGATCGATCTGATCGTAATTAGCATTTTTTAATTTTTTTTTTTTTTTTTTTTTGCGCAAGTAAAAAACTAATTTCAATTCGATTAAAAAAATAAAGAAAAATAAAAAAATTGGAATTTCGGAAATTGGGATTAAGAACTTTTTAAAAAATTAGATTTTTTTATTGGAATTCAAAGTCTTCGAACTTTTAGTCATCTGCAATATAGAATACATAATATATTGATATTGTAAGCATAATTTTCGTGAAAAAAAAAAAAGAGATTGTTCTGAAATTAAAATTAGATCAGTAATCGGAATCGAATGACTATACCAATTCAGTTTAAAAAACCTAAAAAGAACATCAAAAATAGAACTTTTGGAATTCAGATTGAATAATATGGTTCCACAATTGAAAATACTCGAATCGAACTCGGTGTAATTACGAAATTCCATTCCAAATTTCTCAATTGTTTCTTAATGAATTTAAATATGTCAATTGGCATTATGATTAGGTTGCATACCTCCTTCAAATGTTATTTGAAATCGGGTCTTTTGTATTCTATATTGGGTGAAATACACAAACACAGACACATTAATATTAGTATTTGTAAATCAACGATAAAAATTCACTAAACATAGTCTTCAACGGAGCATTGGATTTGGATTTCAAAATGATAATTAATGCTTTGCAAATGTATTGCGCCATCGGGATGTGTATGGCTTAACTTTGACCAAGAAAACTAAATATGCATTTTAATTTATTATATGAAATTTATATGAAATAAATAGCATTTGCCAGATATGCATTTTAATTTATTATATGTAAATTGGTGTTTAAAATTGTAGACATGTGTTGACAAGTTGCGTGTGAAGAGTGGGAGCGGGGTGATTGGGGAAGAAAACGCACTAGGGCTTTTGAATCGTGTTATTGAAATTGCATTTTAGTGCTTATAGTTAGAGTTCAGGCTAGGGGTGGTAAACAAGCCGAGTCGACTCGTGAACTTGATGAGTTGGATCAAAAAAGCTCAAACTTGGATTCGATTTTTTTGAGTTCGAACTCGAGCTTTTTGACGAGTCGAGCTCGAGCCAGTTTTTAGTTGTTCATGAGCTCACGAGCCACTCGCAAGCCTTACTTATTATTTTTGTTTTTTTATTATTTTTTATATTATTTTTAATTTGAATAATGAATAATAATATAAAATATTATATAAATATATAAAAATATTTAAAATATATCTAGAATTACAATTTATTATTAATTTTGTAATTTTTTTCCCACCAAATCGTATTTTTCCTGCCAAATATAGAAATGAAAATAGGATTTGATGTAATTAATACCATTTTATGGTTAACAATTTAGCATTTCAAATTCTTATACATAAATGCTATTTGCGGTCACAAAATTGCTATTCGCGGTTTATAACAAAATCCCCCAAAACTTTTAAAAATATCAAAAAACCCCCCAAAACTGCAAATAGCAAAAAAAAAAATTGAAAATTCGAAATCAAGCTTGAAGAAGGGTTGGGCTTCGATTTTTTGATGTAATTTCGACTCTTTTATGTGTAATATGCATTGGGTAGGTCGATTACAGAACCGATTTCATGTTAAAAAGCCTTACAAATAGATTTGTAGGGCCTTTTTTCTTCGCAAAAAAATGTTAGAACGCCCAACTTGGGCGCCCAAATGCAGCTTGCACGCCCAACTTGGGCGTGCACTGCATAAATGGGC